TTTTTTTTTCAAAAGTATTTTGAAAACACTCCATAATCAAATTTCCAGAATATATTTCTGAAAAGATTATTCTGAACGTTTACATGTCAATTCGAAAAAAATTTATAATAAATTGTTTGAAACCTGTTCACATGTAATATTGTTATTTTAGATAAATATAAGAATACACGAAGAAAATATGAGAAGAAACCATCAAAGTTTATTGAAGGCCCTTTTTAGTTTTTTTTACTTAGCCCAATTCATCAAGATGCGCAAGCTTTAGATAAATCTCATTTAATTGCTTAATTATAATTGGAAGCCTTTTGGGGAACATGTTTATAAGTTCGTTAAAAGTAATAAATAAGTTTATTTCACGCTGATTTTTTAAAATCTATAAATACGTGTTTAAGAAGTTTAATAGTATCAATTAATTCATTTTATTCATTGATAGAAGATGTAGAACACGATAAGAATTTGGTATTTCAAGATACTAATATCTAGAAAAGATAATTAGGAATAATTATGAATTATTTTTCCATTTCTCTCAATATTTTTTACAATAGTAGATATAAACAAATTTATCCTATAATAGAATTTCAGCAAATGCGTAAACAAACACAAATCCTAACTCGAAATTATTCCCTCTCTTCTTAATGTATAATTATAAAAGAAAATATTTCTCTTAATAAATAAATTCATCTCATCCAGTTGGTCTTGAAGTTTGTCTAACGCTTTTTCTTATGATTGACCCATTCACATTAATTGGATTATTGGTGTTATTCGGCCCACTAGTGTCAGCATCTATATCATTCCTTGGCCCTTGGAGAAAAACCATGTCCTTAAGATTAAAAGTTTGTTTGATATATGTTCATGACTCCTAGGTTGCCTCTTCAGGAGAAAGTCCCCTCCACTACACCAAAACTTGTATGCTTGATGGATTAACCGAAGTATCTTCTTGATGATTCAAAATAACTAACGGAACTAACAATGACCCATTTTGATGAATTTATGCAGGAAGGATGCCAACCTCTGCCAGTGGATTTCCAACATGGGGTTTCAGAACAGAATAATGAAAAATAGGATGTATGCGGTATGTTGCTAGTAAAGCCAACTCATAAGCTACTACTCTAATGCGACAAATAATTTGAAAAGGACCAAAGTAAGGTTTGGCTAGCTTGTGAGGAGTGTGACCAGCCACAAAAGTTTGGCGATATGGACGAAGTTTGACATACACCCAAGTCCCTACGTCAAATTGGACATCATGTTGATGGTTATCCACCAACTTCTTCATGTGCTCTTGACACTTGTGTAAATTCTTACGTAACTTAACTAACAAAGCATCACGAGAACTTAACATTTCTTCTACTACCTCCGCTGGAGTTTTCCCCAATAAGTACCCTAGTAGTGAAGGGAGAGTCTGACCATACACAATCTCAAAAGGTGTGAAGCCGGTAACTGAATGGACAGAAGTGTTGTAATACCATTATGCCCATAGAATGCAGTTACTCCATTGAATAGTTTGATGGTGGCAAAAAACTCATAAGTATTGCTCAAGTGCACGATTGAGCACTTCCGATTATCCATCCGTTTCTGGGTGATAAGTAGACGACATACGCAACTGGGTACCACAAGCCTTGAATAGTGCCTACCAAAATTTGCTCAAACATAAGGGATCATTATTTGAAATAATACTCTTAGGCATTCCATGAAGTTTAGTTACCAAATTGATGAATAAAAGAGCTACTTGGTAAACATAATATTGAGTAGGTAGAGGACCGAAATAGGTAACTTCAAAAAATGATCTACAACAACCAAAATAGTTGTATATCCGCAGGAAGGAGGGAGATGGGTGATGAAATCCATGGCCAAGTATTCCTAGAGTCGAGTGGGTGGTGTAATAGGTTGGAGGAGTCTCGTTGTCTTTTGAGGACTATACTTAATTTGTTGATAAATCACACATTTTCAAATAAAATCCTTGACATCCTTAGACATCGCTGGTCAGAAAAAGTTTTCCTACAATCGGTTAAAGGTCTTAACACTTCACAGAAAAAGTTAATCTAAAGTGACCACCCAAAGGGGTTGAATGAAATTCAGTCATTGGCACTTCACAGAAAGGAAAAGAGGAGGGCAACCAAATTTTTCCTTGAAGAAGATTAGGTTATCCTAGAGTTTGTAGTCAGTTGTCGTTTCAACACCTTGTTCAACATCTTGTTTAATGGAATGAAATTGTTGGTTGGAATGGAGAGTTGTGTGTAATTCCTCTAAGAATTGGAAATGAGAAACTGTAATGATGCAGAATTAAGAGGTACTCTGTTTATCAGAAATTCGTGATAATGCATCTGTTGCAGCATTTGTGCGACCAGGATGATAATGGATCGTGTAATTATACCCCAAGAGTTTACTCATGTAATATTGTTGTTCTAGATTCTGAATAGTTTGAGTTAAGAGATCCTTCAAGGGCTTGTGATATGTTTGTATTATGAAGTAATTTCCTAGGAGATATTGTCGCCACTTTTTTATTAATAATGTAATGGAATGGAGCTCACACAAATATGTTGAAGCTTGCATCATACGAGGACAAAACTTCTTACTAAAAAACGCCACTGGTTTTTGGTCCTGTGATAGAATTGCTCCTATGGCGGTACTTGAACTATCATATTGAACCACAAATGTTTTTGTAAAATCCAGTAGCGCCAACACCAGAGCAGTAGACATGGCTTCTTTAAGTTTATCAAATGCATCTTAAGCCTGTGAAGACCATTGAAAAGCATCCCTGTGCAACAAATCTATGAAGGGTGATGTCAAAGAAGCATAACCGCGGATGAATTTGCGGTAAAATCCTATGAGACCCAAAAATCCTTTCAAGTCCTTGACAGAGCTAGGGGTTGGCCAAGAAATCATAGCTTTAATTTTGGAACCGTCAGGCCCTACTGATCCTACACGGACTATGTGTCTCAAATATTCAATCTGTTGTAAGGTCAAACAACGTTTGGACACTTTCAAATAGAATTGGTTAAGTCAGAAGCAATTGAAAAGTGGTTTCCAAATGAAGTAAATGATTAGACCAAGAGGAACTATAGATTAAAATATCGTCAAAAAAGACCATAATAAACTTTCGTAAATGGGGTCAAAAGAGTTTGTTCATGGTGGCTTGAAATGTTGCTGGTGGATTGGACAATCCGAAAGGTAGCACGCGAAACTCATAGTGTCCATCGTGCGTGCGAAAAACTGTCTTGTGTATATCATCCGGGTTCATGCAAATCTGATCGGTTAATATTATTACTCAACAAAAATATCTATTTTACCATTTTTGCATTATAATATTTCATTTTTCAAACGTACTCCATTCAACATTTTGGAAGAATGCGTGATGTGAAAACTATATCCAATTTTTGTTTAAAACAATCTTTAATAAATAAAATATTTGTAAAATATATATATATATATATATATATATATATTTTAAGTTTATATAATAAAAAGAGAAATTTTGTTTTTAAAAGATATTTAGGTAAATTTAAGAGATAAAAAAATTATATATATATATATATATATATATAAATATAGTTTAATGAATTTAAGAAATATATATATATATATATATATATATATATAAATTATTAATAATTTCCACCTTAGATAAAAATTATAAATATATGAAAAATAATTTTAAATAAATATTTTCATCGAGATGTCTTAAATTAATATTATTGGACTATGTGATACTATAATGTTAAAAATATAATTAAAATATAAATTTCCTTTTTCTATTAAAAAAATGTCATAGTTTTATATTAAAAATGTAATTATAAATTTATAAAGATTTCTTATTAATTAAATGTTATATTGAATAATGATACAAATAAATCTTATTTTTTTTTTTAAATTAATGATATTGTTAATTATTTTAAAGAAAGGAAAATAGGTTTATCTATCCTATTTTAATTTACCGGTCATAACAGATAGGATATAAATTTTAGTCTATTTCGTAGAAGGACGTATTAACGAACTAATACATCAATTAACTGATTTTATATATATATATATATATATATATATATATATATATATATATATATATATTAAATATATTTAATTATATAAATAATTTTTATTTATTTATATTTTTATTAAATAAATTAAAAAAGTATTATATTTATATATTAAAATAATTAATTATTTAAAATTAATTATTTATTATAATTTTAATTATAATATTATAATATATTTATATATTTTAATAATATAATATAAAACCTATAGTATTTTTAATTTTAATAATTTTTATTTTAATATATAAATATTTTTTAAAATGGAACATGCAACTCACCCTCTCGTACCCTTCCTTCCTTGTACACCGTACCCACCGAATTTATAGGCTTTAAAACAGGTTAACAACTAAAATTATTAACCGTTTTAACATTTTTACACTGAACCGCTCCACTTAAGACATTTTAGCATAGCTTTTACTTCTCCCATGTTGAAACACTAACTAATCATTAATAATATATCTCATTGAACCAATAGCGTCCTGTTATGTATAAACTTAGAAGAGAATAAGATAGATGACAGTAACACATTAGATATATAAAAGGAAAGACGTTATAAAAAAGAACGAAAAATTTGAACTTCACGGAGAAGGAAATGGACGGGTGATGAAGGAATTTGAACTCGTGCGGTGGTGGTGGCAGTTTGAAGTCAAATTGCAATATAAAAAAGAGACGTCCGACACTCAACTCCACTCAACTCACCTTATCTTTCTTTTCCTTCATTCACTGTGGAAGTAGGTTAGTGAGAAAGCAAACACGTCCTCGACCTTTTCACCCAACTCGACTCGACCCACGATCCATGCATGCATTTGTTTAAGGATAGGTCAAAGGCATTGAAGGGGCCGATTGGAAGTGGGAAGGTCATGATTATGCCGCGTAAAAAACAAATATTAGATTAGATGGACCCCACCATAACCAATGTCAACTGAGAGCAATGCGTCACCCCTTCCGTCATTCTCTACTCCATCTCCCTTACCCCACCACATTACTGCTCATTTCGATCGACCTAAAACTCGCCGATCCAAGATTCTTATACGGGCCGGGCGAGGCCCATTCCTCTTCCTTCACCCCTCTCCTCCTTTTCCATCTCCTCACACAAAACCCCGTCCCAACAATAATAACCCCCACCATTACCACAACCGTAACCACAACCACAACCCGAACCCAAACCCGATTCTTTCCTTCTTCCCCTTTTCTAACTTTGAAATACCCCACTTTTGTCGCATCCCCGGTACCCAACATGGTTTGGATCGGACTGTCCAACACGTAACAAAACCCCGTGGCGTTGTTATACAACGCTCCCCAACAGCTACAGTTGTTCTGGCACAATTCCTCGCACCCCGCTAAAGACGACACCGTTTCCTGCCTAAGGAGCTCCTTATGCGGTGGCTCCACGCCGGTCCTTCTCAGCACCCAGTAACCGCTTTCATTCCCACCAATCCCTTCTTTCCCACACAAGTCTCCACTAGCATCACTGAAGCACCCACCGGGTTCGAACCGGATCCGGTTATCTAAACAGGAGCATCCAGACCCACCGGGCGTGCACAAACCGTAGAAACCGCAGGAGCGGGGGAGTTCGCAGGTTTCAGATATAGCCTGGTAGTTAGTTAGCCAGTTGGAACCGTCCCAGTAATAAGCTTTCAGATTCCCGTCCGTTTCCAACCGCACGAACAAAAACGACGCCGCTGTAACAGCCTGTTGGAAGCTGTTGAACTTTTGAACATCAACGGGCTTTTTGTCGTCCGTCTGATACATCCCGAGGTACCCCTCCGGGTTGACTCGGGCGTAAATTGGTCCCATCCCTTCCTTCACTTCCGCTTTTGTCTCCAGCGCAGTGTGTTTCCAATATATATACTCGTTCCCATCGTATAATCCCATGAAATCGTTGCCTAAACGCATCGAATAAAATCCGTTGGAGGATAACAGAGACATTTTTGAAGTGAAATTCTGGTCTTGGACGAGGGTATTTGTGGGAAAATCAAAACTTTCCCAAAGGGGAGAGCCTTTGGTTTGGACCTGCAAGTTGGAAGTGTTGAGGAGCACCACGCGGTCTCCGTTGGTGGCGGTTGACCACGAAACGCGCGTTTCGGGATCCGACAGCACGAGACTGCCGTTGAAGAAGAGGCGCGTGGTGTCGGACCAGGACGCCGTGCGAGTTGGGTTGGCCACCCAGAAAGGCTCCGAGGACGCCACGTGAACGATGGCTAGTGCCAGCTGGTTTGGGTTCACGCGGAGGAAGCCCAGAGAGAAGTTTCCGCTGGGGTCAGTGAGAACTGCCTGAAACGACGCCGTTGAAGACTCTGGTGTCGCCGAGAAGCCCGTTTGAAGCTCTTGCGGGATGGAAGTGCATCTGAAAGTGATAACTTGGAGGGACAGAAATAGAAGCACGATATACCGAAGCTGACGAGTTGCGAACATGTTGAAGATGAGAGTTGGCATACGATGTAGATAGCGAGTTGATGTGTGTAGGAGCGTGACATTTATAAGGTTAACGCCGAAGGAAAAATAGTATAAGGATGGTCGTAAATTGGTGAAACATTTTTAAATACAAAGTGTGCCTGGTTATATTGTTAAAATTTTCCCAAGATCTTCCACACGAACTCATCAAATATTATTTATTCTATTTTAAACTTTCTGCATTATTTTGGAAAATTGGCGAGCTGCTATGCTATCACGTCTACAAATTCAGGTAGCGTTTGAGATTATTTTCTAACTTGGCCAAGTTTGGTGACAGCGATTTGAAAACAACGAGAGGGCCTAATGGATAATATTATATTCTTTTTAGACCACTGTTACATGAAACGACGTGAGTTTTATATGGATTGTTGGAAGATTAAGAAATAGAATGAATCCAAATATGGAATCACGGTGTATGGAGTTTGGTTCAACAAAGTTCCAAATTTAGCGTGCTTAGCTACACTAATAATCTCTGCATTTTCGTGTGGAATCACATAAACTACAGTTGTTCGGTGGAGCAAGTGGATGCAAACGCAATAAACCCTTGATGAGTCATAAATGAATGTAGACCAGTTGAGTTGAGATGTTTGACAAACTTCTCAGCTAGTATTCACCAATTAAACAACTCTCACTCTCTCTTAGTTGATGTTTGGTTATATTTTTGTTTCCAACTTTTAGTTGCCATGTGAAGATAATCATTGATTCATTTTTCTTTTAGAAAATGTATTACGTTGGATTCAATTATCTTGATTTGGTTGTCTCAAGAAAAAACTATATGGTGTGTTTTACACAAGTTCAAAATATATTGTAATAATAGTATAAAGAGGTTCATTATTTGTTGATGCAAAAAATTCCTCACGAATTCAAAAGGAGTGTAAGTGAGTACAAATATTTATTGATGAATGTGTAAAGTCAGAAAAATTGGTGGAGTTGTTTAATTTGATGAACCCTTCTCTCTCAACATGTTTCAACAACGGCAAAATTGGGGCACTTGCATTATCTCATTTTTTGTGTTTTTAATTCCCACCCATCCATGTGTTCCTGGATCACATCAATTGCTCTTCGTAAGAGTTATCTTTGAATATATCTAAAAAGTAGATTGTTTCAATTGTAATGGATTATAAATTATTATTATTATTTTTTTATACAATACAATTTTATGTTTTACAAAAGTAAATAAATGAAACTGAAATAAAAAACTATTAAAATAACATTACAAATTTTACAAATTTTAAGATTTGCCAAAACAATAATTTATTTTAGAAAAAGTTTTTATTGAATTTCTTCATTTGTCTCAAACACTTAACTTATTTTATAAACAGTTATTTTATATAAAAAAGCAGTTTAATTTAAAAAAAATCTCAAACATACTATAAGAGAGGCAATGGTAGACATTCTTTTGATAACATGTATAATAAAGAATTCCATTAAATAATATTTTTATTGTTGCAGTGAACTTTTAAATTTGATTGTAAAACAATGCTGTTAACAAATAAGGTTAATTGTATTTATTTAATTTTTCTAAAATTATCCAAAAATAATTAATCTAAAATTAAATACTATCCTTAGGTGTTGAATAGCATGTAAAGACACTTAAAAAAAAGTGCTGGACAGGCTCACACTCACAAAAAGTTGTCAATTAAAGTGAAGGGTTGACTATTTATAAATTAACTACTATATCACTTTAAATTATAGCTTTTAATATAATACTACTTCACACAAGATTCTCATTCAGTGTTTTAAATAATTTATGCAGTTTTTTTTTTTAGATTCAGAAAAATAATTTATGATTCCTATGAATTTTTAGTTTATTTTATTATATTTGTTTATCAAAATAATATTTAATTTGTTTTATAATAAAATTTATTATACAAATAATCATACAATAAGGATATTGAATAAGCATTTCGATCCCTCATATATTTTAACATAAAGAAGATTTATTATGCTGATAATTTACAATAAAGCAATTTGAAATTTATTAGATGGTTATAATGGTTAAATAATCAGTGTACTAACTAATTATCGTAACACTTTTCATTCTATTATTGTTATTTTTTTCTTCTTGTTTCTCTTTACTCTTTAGATTTTGTCATGTAGTTCATCACAAATTTCCATTAAGCTAAAATTATATCTTTTTCTCTTCTTTTTTTTTTTTAACCAATGCAATTAGGAATTTTAGATTTTTTTTCCTTCCATAAAATCCTTATATATATCTCTTGCTTTTTTGGAATGATAATGAAGTAATTTTTTTTTATTCAGAACTTGGTAATAAATAAAATATTTTACTTTTGAAAAAAGCATGTGATATAAAAATTAAGTTCATGGTTATCAAATTCTCGAGTTAACTTGCTGAATTGTACGAGTTAACGAATCAAATAATCGGGTACGAGTTAACTCGTGAGTAGACTCGTTTTAGAGTAGATTCGAAGTTAAACTCGGTGGACTCTGAATAAAGTCGCGAATTAGAGGCGAGTCACCGAGTTTGAAGGAAAAGAAAAATTTGGATCTTCTCCGACTCTTCTCGTTTCTTCTTACAAGTTCAGATCTCGCTCATTTCCATTGTTCGTCGCTGCTTATAGTTGTCAGTGGTCATCGTCGCATGCTTATCATTAGTCGTACGGTGGTCATGCGACCCTCGTTTGGATCTTGTACGTTCATTTAGGTCGCGCAATGGTTTGCACGACGTTCACCCGAGTTGCACAATGATTGCGTTCCTTGTAGTTGCTCACCGCCTTTTAGGTTAAATTGAGGGATTTGAGATTTTCGAATAGATGAGATAGGTTAGATCGAGGGATTGAAAGATTTGATATTTTAGAGTTTCAAATAGACGAAGAGATTTTAGATATTCAAGATTTATTTTTTTAAATTTTGATTATATTGTTGTACAAATTCAATTAATTTTTTTATTATTTTAATAATGAGAATTAATATTATTATATTTATTATTAAATTGATATTTTTCATATAAAGTAAACTCTTACGAATCTACCAGTCAATTTTATCAATCTCTCACGAATCTACATACACTTCGAGTATGATAACCTTGATCAAATTTAAGTATCCTTTACATATTATCAACGCAACATTTTTGTATTATCTTTTTCATTATTTGATCTAAATTAATATGCTTTAGATTTTCCTCTTATGAATTAATGAATAATTTTAAATAGATCAATTTTAAAGAGATATTTATCAATAGATCATAAAAAAAATATATGTAAAAAAATATAATATTATTTTTAATTTAAAACAAAGTATATTTGAAGTTTTTTCTTATTTATATATTACTTAATTTCTTTCCATCAATATAAAAAAAATTAAAGTTGAAAGTTTACTCTTTAAAATTGGAAGTTGACTTCCATGTTTAATGAACATAATAATTATGTAATTAATTAACATGATCTTTTAATTATACATGCCCACATGGGAAGGTGCAATGGCATAAGTTTCTTTTAATTTCTTACGGTGTGTGTATATTGAGAGTGAATATGTGGTACAAGAGCATCTCCAATGCTCTCAAAATTTGAAAATAACAAAACTTTTGTTGTAGATCTAACAAAGTTTTAATAAAATTGTTGACTATTTGTTTGGTCTATTAAATTCCAGGAACTGTAAGTATTTGTTGTATTATCACTTCAATTCTCACTTTCGGCAATTGCGGTCAAAATTATGCCCTCTAATTCATAATAAAGTCCAATCTCAGTTTCTAGAAGCTTTGAATTCAGAAGTAACTAATAATATATTTGTTTCTACAGGTTCTGCTCTAGTTCAAAACTAGAAACATTTCCCGCCAACAATATTTTTTCCCCTTTTTTTCGACAGATTCAAAACACAAAAGGGACATTATTCATAGTATAACTATTTTGAAACAACGTTATTTTTTAAAAGTTCTGTGAAATTAACCATGCATTTAAAAATCAATATATCCAATGGTTAGAAGTTAGTTTCGATCTTATCTAAAGGTGGAGGATATTTTCATTAGAACAAATTATATAGTGAGACAGGAAGTTGAACCATTTCTGCTCTGTTTGCATATGGGGATGATCTAAGGAAGAGAAACCGAGTGAAGAGATTTGCATGGATGAATAAGTGGGGTCACAAGTTTTAGGTTCATCTTCGTTAAGGAGTAGATGGATTGTGGCTATGATTTACATAACTTACTGTGTATGTAATCCAACTTATTGTGGTTATGGATTACTTGATAGTTGCTTTTATTAACTGGTTAATATGTGATTATGTTTTTTAGAATTTGTATTAGATTGAAGCTTGCTTTTAAGAAGATAGTTTTATACTCGACAAATTTTAAGTTATGTTAGGACGGTATTTGTTTAAAAATTCTTTCAACTAAGAATCTGCTCTCTGTTTTTCATGTTTAGTTTATATTTTTAAAAAATAATATTTTTTAAAAATCGTATATTTTATATTATATTCTTTCATAAAATTAGGAGATGATAATTAGATTTTTTTTCAAGTTAAAAAATATTTAGTTGCCATAAATATATAGTTTTATTTTAATTAAATTATTTATTTTAGAAATCACATGTTTTTTAATTAAATAAAATCTATGTAAACATTTCTAGAAATATTTATGACAAGTCAAATCCATTTTAATTATTTATAGAAATTATAATTTTCTGATTTATAGTTTCCAAGTTTCTTATCCCTAATTTCATTTTCTTCTAATAGTACATTAATTCAAATATTCATTTCTCTAATAGTACATACTCGAGTAATTTTATTAAAAAGTTATTAAGCAACCGTACTGCGTAAACAATCGACAATGATATATCATTTACTCCAATGATACTTTATGTTAAACAATTTTTTAGTGTGTTTTTAATGTTTGATCATTTTTTTACAGGATATTAAACATGTAAAAAGTGTTTTTTATTGTTAAATTTTATTAATATGTAATATGTAATTAGGGTTGAATATGTGATCAGGGTTTAGGGTTCTCATATTTATTATAACTCTTTTAAAAAAATTGGCTTTGAGATGTTTTTACTAAATTTTAAATTTGATATTATAGTTATAATATTTTGAAATAAAAAAGAAGTTAATATGGAATATGTGATTTGGATTGTTGAAAGTGTTAAATTACTTTAATATTACATAAAAAATTTGTTGTTTTTTAAAATTTATAGCATAAGGTTTTATTGTACTTTAATATGTGATTTTAATGTGTTGTTTTTATTTCTAATTTTTTTTAATTAACCTAATTAGCATTAATTAGTATGTGAAGCAAATATTTATTTGCAATACGTAATTAATTTATTAAATAGTTTAAAATTTATTTTTAAATAAATTTTTAATATTATTATTTAAAATTTTAAAACAGTTATTTTATTTTTAATTCATATTCCCTCTATTAAATTTAAATAAAGATAATTTGATAATTTATTAAATTATCTAATTAATATATATATATATATATATATATATATATTATTTCAAATCAATGGTAAATATTTCACTTATTTCTTTTTATTTGTCACATTCTTTTAATCTAATTAATCCACTCTTATTTTATTTTCTTTATTTCACTTGCTCAAATTTATTCCATTATCCAAGAAAAACTTTCCGAGTAGTCTTTTACCTAAAATACAACTAACTGTTGACATGCACAGATAATAGAGGAGACAAAGCCCATGTTTTAGAGTGACAATGTTCATATTTACCTTACAAAAATGGTGTGAAAATTGTCTTTCCATAAAGACTAAACTGGGATGGGAGCAACAACCAGGGAGACTCGTAGTTACTTCCAATTCCCTCCTGAACAGAAAGAGGGAAATTAGCAACGGAAAGTTACGAGGGGAATTAAATTGGTCGATTTTTATTGACACAGATAACGTTATTGGACATTAGGAAAACCATGGCCAGAGTTATTTGCCTAGTGATTATCGCCAGATATATTAAATGTTCAAGATCTGCCTCTCTTCCTTTAGTAATATGAAGTACGCAGTGCATATCGACGATTAAGATTAGCTCATTTATATGTTTGAAAGCTACTCAATTTCTTTTTTCCGGGTACAAGTACAAAAAAAAAAAAAAAAAGAGCACAAAATTTGTTTAACTGCTCTAAGGACCAGTTAGAGGCAATAAATTTGATGTATACAGGATCATCAAAATTTAGTATACTATGTGAAACTGGGTGGGAACCCTTGGTAAGCTTCTGACTACGCCAAAGCAAACCATTAATCGTCATCCTGCAAAAAAATAATTCAATCAAATTACTAACAAAAATATAAACAATGTGAGATATTAACTGATGTCAGACAAGGCTTCTTACCAAATTGGTAACAATTGAGTTCTCTGATAAGCATTTGGCATGAATGATGGGACCCACATTTCTACTTTCCATCTCATTATTGATATCTGAGTAGTTCATGCAAACGGCCCCTTTGAACATCCACTCGTTCCTTTCCTGACAGTACACATCTTCAAATAGCTCTCCACACAATACACACAAACACTGATTTTCATCTGCTAGAATCATCACATCCAGTTGACTGCTGTCTGTTTCTTTGTCGTATACATCAACTGAATCAGTAAACTCAAACTCAGTTGAAAATTCTGCCTTGCCAGTAATCCAATCACCTGACTTAGCATACCAACTTCTTGATGCTTTAATTAGATCATGTTCTCTTGTGGCATGCCACTCCAAGTGTCTATTATACTGTTCTTCTTGTTTAAACCTAATACCGCAAATTTCGCAATAATGAGGGAAATCATCGAATAATTCCCTAATTACAGGTTCATGGAATTCTCGAATTACATTAGGTCTAAAATCAAAGCCAATGAGATTTCTGATTTTCGTGCTAGTTGATTGAGGTGAGGCAACAGAGGATTTTGTAGCAGCGTCTATCTCATCTCTGGAAGACGATACTGGGACAGCTGCAGAACCAGAAACTGATGTAACTGGCAAAGAGCTACTGTTGCTAATGACTACAGTTTTATCTTTGGATCCCTTCAACACCTCGCTTGGTACCATAGTTGGTGGTTCTGTTTCTGCAGATATCAAACCCTTTGCGACCAATGAGCTTAAAAGGTTTGCGATTGGATTTACATTATTATTTTTGGCACCATTCACGTTAGAGGAAGCGGGTGGTTGAGTAGCAAGCCTTTGTGGTGGTTGTCCAGACTTTCCTTGAGGTTTTTTTGGCAGTATAGATAAATCTTTATGCAGAGGATCTAATAAAGATGGCGATGCCACTACAGACCCTGAAGAAGTTAATTTGGTAGGAGAAGACCTACCAGACTGAACCCCAGACTTAGGTGGATGCTTCCTTGGATCCAGATTACTGGTAACTGATTTCTTGAAGATGATTTCACTCTTGACAGCTGCAGCTGACAAATTATTTTTGGTTGACTGGTCTGAAACTTCTTTGGCTAAACAAACTTTAGACTGGGGAAGCTTAGTTTTAACAGAAACTTCAGTCTGAGAAGAATGCAGCTGCCGTGACTGAAGCTTTGATACATAAGCAGTTGCAGAAGATACCGGGTCCTGCGGGTCCTTTTCCTGTGATCTTCGCATGTTACCAACCTGAAGAATGGGATGAAGGGTAGGTGAACGATCTCTAATGAGCTGACTTATTGAACCCCCCGAAAATTGAGATGTTTTGATATTCTGGGGCATTTCTTGCTCAGCCAAATTTTGCATTGAACGAGGGTGGTGTACTGTTCCTGGCAGTGATGAAGACTGTTGTGGCAAAGGTGACTGCCCAGAAGGGGATTCGGTTTCCTCAGAATCAAATTGTTGTTCTACAATTTTCACCATTCCTACTGATGCATTTGACATAAAAGATTGGTTCACCTTCTTGACAGGTAAAGAACTTGCGTTGGCCAGTAAGCCAGTGGATACCAATCCTTCTGAGTAGCTTGGCTTCAGATTCAACTGGTGCTTCTGCAATTGCCATGATGAAGGTGGATGGCCCCCAAAACCAGGCATTTGTTTCTTCTTAACAGAAGATAATTCTCTATCAACCTTTGCCCCAAAAGGGGGTGTGATTTGGAGGTGATCTTCACCTTCCTGCACATGGAAAAAATATATCAGTAAAGTACATCCAATAAAATATTATATCCACTTTCAGATCACTGTATTAGTTTATGATTATGATGCATCTGTAAATTACAAGGGATTAATTGGTTAAATTCCTAGGGTTTGAAAGTAGGAAACCAGGACATCTTATGCCAAATTAAATTAGGTTTTTATTTCATCGTTTGTATAAGACTCTTTAAAAATTCGAATTGCTCGACTTTGATATATTAGTGTTTGTTCAATAAACAATATCGGGCAAGTTATCTACGTAAGGGAATTTGTACATTCATCCCTAAACTGATCACCAAATAACCTTTTTATTGTGATCAAAAGTTAAAAATTTGGGGTAATTACACGTTACCACACTATTAGTTCTATTACACTAACTACCAAGCAATTTACCTCCTCCTTTAATATGCTTCTCTGCAATGTCCCCCACATTTCAAGATAGGGATTTTTTTCATAATTTGATGTTTATACAAGAGGCGACTTTTTAAGGGGAAAAACAACACTAATAATAATTTCGACTGAAAGCATAAACCTTATATTGTAAGTGAAAATTTCTGATCGAAATTAGACACATTAACTGATCTTGATTGTTTTGTGAAAAAAGTACTCGACAAGGGTTTTTCAAATTAGCCAGAGTTTGATAAATTTGGAGGATCATTCCAAAAGAAAATCATGTTAAATAAAATAGTAATGTACTTCATTTTATAAATTAAGAATAAATTTGCAAATAGATGAACAAATGGCAGTGCAACTGACCCTTTTAACAAGCTTACCAAATTTTCATCATCTGTCATCCATGAGTCAGTGCTCAACACATTGTGTCCATGATCAGTCAAACCAGAGTTCATCTCATCCCACGTGAACTCCTCCTCTTCAGAATTTTTCCAGTTACCTGACATCACATTTTTCCGTAGGTTAGTTATACTTTGTCTTGGCTGACGAAGTGCTTCTAAATTCATGGACTTTGGTGCTTCATGATTTGAAAAACTACGCTTGAGACTGAAACCATTTTTTTTCTCAGATATGGTCTCTGCATCACCACCATCTGTTTTGAACCATGTTTTCTCGTGCCCTAAATCAATGACTTTACTTCCAGTTCTTCCAACCCCTGAGACCAAATTACTTGAAATACCAGAACCATATTGACTGCCTCCAAATGATCCATCAATGCTCTTCTCAGGAACAGAATCATTAAATGCATCTCTCTGTGTGTGCTGATTATGCTGCAATATACACCACTACATTAAGATATAACAACCGAGAGAGTTATTAGCATAAAGAGTAGAAAAAGCTAATTAACATACAAGCAAGTTCATCCTAGGATCCAGCCATGGTCGAGAAGCACCCAAAGCTCTATCTGGCCTCTCTGAATCCTCATTTGAGTTTAACAAAGCTCCAGTCATGTCATTAACTACTCCTTTACTCTTCAGCACATAATAAAAGGATATGGTAAAAGAATAAGAACTAGTGATGGTGGACGAAAAGACTTATATTATGAATCAGACTTTAAAATACAGTAACAAGGTGAAAACAGAAATACAAAATATGTATATTGAGATAAAAGGAAGACTGCATTCGAAATATTACTTTTAACTAAAGCCTGTAAATAGCACACGTCAATCCATAAAAAAGAACCACAAAATCAGGTCAGTTCATGATTAAGAAAAATAAAGAAATTCAAATTAGTTTAATAGAAACAATTCAATTCAAATACACTTATTGGAAGAATACAGTATAGTGTCTCATAATCAAGATAAAAAATTTGACGTCAAATTCGTCTTCCAGTTCTGTTTCAACATCCAAGGAACACATGACTGCAAATTTCAATTAGAGTAGTGATATTTTGCCAACCAGAAACCATACAACCTTTCAAACAACTCACTTTTATTAATATAATAATCTATAAAATAATTTAATAAAAATAAAAAATAAATTAAAACTATTATTATAATATTAAAAGAGAGTTGTTTATAGGAGTTGTATGGATTTAGGTTGTCAAAGTATCATTTTCCTTTCAATTAATCACATAAAAAAGTTGTAACAGTATCCAATCTTGACTGATTCCTATCAAAATGCAATTTTCCAGACCTTTAAAGAGCAAGTTTTTGGTGCAACGGTTCACATACCCTACTTGATTGCTGGAGACGCTGCCTTTCTAAATACTTGGGATTGACATGGATGCTATGAGGAGGGCGTTGTGACTGCAAATCACTCCTGACTGTAGCAGATACCGAAGCTGAACCATTGACTGCAGGTGCAAACCCAAGTTCCTTCTCAATCATCTGAAGACACTGAGGAGGAAAGACTCCTTTCCAAGTTCCAAAAAGATGCTTCATACTTGAATGGACAGAAGGATCAACCTGTCTGTAAGCTTTGCAGAATACCTAAAATGTAAAGTAGTAGTACCTAGTTAAAAATAGGTGTATAGAATTAGAAAACATATATAACAGTAAAAATGCAAAGGGAAAAATTGTTTACATTTCATTTTTAAGGGAATTGCAAGAATTCTTATAAGCTCGTGAGTCATGTTACCAACTTCTATCAGAACAGTTCATCATTACTTCACAATATTTCATCATATACAATAATAAGTACATCAAAATAAAGGCGCAAAGGCAAATGTTTAAAGATAGTAAAATATCAGACCTCATGTATTCTGACAGCAAAATATTTTATATAATCCCGCCCGATGTTCTTAACAATACTGTCCAAGAGATAAAGAGATGGCAGTTTTTGATCACTTGGAACCTGGAAAGTCATAAACTCGTTTCAATTACAGATACCTTTTAAAAAAAAAAAAAAAAACACGATGACAAGAATAAGATTGCCATGACAAATGCAAACAGGGAAAACAGCTGAAAACAACAATATATAACCCAGTCAGAAGTTAACATAAATTTTCATCAAAAGTGAACTTTAGTACTGATGGAGATTGGCAAGGGGATTCACTTATGAGAGGCAATTCTTCACAAATTGAGTAGGACTAATCTAGGTGATAAAGCTCACCCTTTGAATATTTAAGAATGGAAACTGTTTATTGATCAATTATTTCCCAAGTTGCCAATAGAAAAATCCACGTTTGCCAAGATTGTTAATCCCCTTTGCATACAAAATTAAGAAAATATCAAGCAAATTGTGGAGTACCACTCCCCAATAGTGTTAATAACCAGTTAAACACCTAATCAAAATTAACCAAATTACCGTCATTTGGCAAAAGGACAATTTTTCTTCATAATCCTGATTGGAAAACTATTATTTTATGGTGCAGAGCATAGGGCATCACTTAAGAACCAATCTACACCTACAGGGCCAACGAAATGGGGTGATATTCCATGAATGTCCTTTTTCCACTAGCATTCATTCTACCTATGTACAGCAAGAATCCAATTCATCATCGCATAGCATGACAAACAATAACAACACCAAATATCACAATCACAAATTATAAAAATCAAGTCGAATTGCTATTTCTTTATTCCAAAAATTCATTACAGATCAAGTCAATACACACACAACAGCACATTGTGTTCACCTCTAGAATGTTAGCACACACAGCGCCAGCAATTGCCTTGGCAGCAGACTGGTTTTCTCCTGCAATAATTGTCAGGTTTGTAATTATCGGCTTAGAATTGAAAGTGAGCTCAGCAAGCGCGGCCTTATACTGAGCCACAAGCTCATGGTGCAGCGGAGGCTGTGGCTGGTACCCGCCGCCGCCGCGACCCGAATCGCTGCTTTCGGAGTCTCTGTCATTTGCTCGAAATCTCGTAGACGCCAACGTAGCAACTGCCCCGGACCCTTGCTGTCGTTGAGGCAACTGTCGAGCGCTGAGTTCGTCAATCAATCGGGGCTTCTTGGGACCCGACTCCCTCGATCTATCCAACGATCTGCGCGTACTCTCCATACTCATTCGAATCAAATACAAAACGCATCTAAAACCCTAACCCTAACCCTATTGAGCTCTCAATTACAAAATGAACTGGATTTGGCGCAAGAAAATCTTTGGTTCTAGAGCCGGTTGTATTGGGGAAAGGGAGGAATGCATGAGAATGAAGTTCTGATTCAAAATTGTACAGTGCGAATTGAGATAAACCCTAATCCCAATTTACATGAATTAATAAAAGAGTAACGAGAGAGAGAGGAACGAGGGTAGAAGGAGAGGTAGAGTGTTTATATAGCAAGCTGCGATTGGGATTGTATGTGTTAATGAAAGCCACCACTGACTGAAGGTCGCTCTTCCCACGTTCAACTGTGATCTTCGTTGAAACATTTTTTCTTTTTCTTTTTACAGTTCCCTCAAGCTTCATAAACGATACAATTTCGTGAGAACAAAATATTACAAACGTTTAAAGTAAAATTAAAAAAAAAAAGTTGTTAATTTTTCATTGTTGTCGCGTTTAAATGTTTAATTACTTAAAATTAACCTAAAATTTAATGTTAACATTTTTAATCTTTATATAATTTCATTCATTTGTTTGCCAGTGTTTGGTTACGATTTAGAGTAAAATAAAATTTAAATTAGTTATATTTTAAATGTGCGGTCTAGTCATAAAATTGTTTTGTAATAAGAAATATAAAGTAGGTGCTTTAAAAAAATAGATTTTAATATATTTGTAGTTTCAATACTATATTTAGTTATTTATTTATTTTAATTTCTGTAATATAGATTTTCCTGTTGAATATTTATTTTATATTTTAGCACTAAATGATAATGTGACATTAATGGATAAAATAAATTATAAAATCGAAACATTAAAACATGTAATATATTATGAAGAAAAATTACAGATTTAAGTCGTGAAAATTACAATGTTTAATTTATTATTTCTCAAGTATTATTATAAAGAATGGTGTTTAAATGAGAAACAACTAAAATCATATATGTGATAGCGTAATTTAATTGTAAATATAATTCAATTTTAACTACTTCAATCTTATTTAATGTTATTATTTTTAAACTATCTTTATTTTTAAATCTAGGAATCATAGTCAATCAATATGATAGAAGATAATTTATAAATTATACTTTTATTATTTTATGAAATCAAAAGCATTTAATGAATTAACTAACATTCTTAATTAGCATGATGTGTATAACTAAAAGTTTTTTAATAAATTATTTTGATGCTAGTTTTATTTTATGTTAATCATAGATCGTGAGCGTCGTTATTTTATTTTTTATTTTTTTTTAGAATTCGAAGTATAGAAATATAAATTATATAAAAAGTTTTTAAAATAATAACGTTTTATTTTATTTTTTTAGAATTCGTAGTATGCAGAACATTCACGGTTAATTTTATCGTCGACTTCGTGTTTATGCCAACATATTCTGTCTAATTACTCTCTGAAATTTCGTTTTGACTCATGTTTAATTACATGTGTTTTGTTTTTAAGATTATATGAATGTTTATTGTTCGAAGTTATAGACATGTTAGAGAATTGTGGGCCTACATGCATAAGATTAAATTACCCAGAAAATAAGATGCGAAAGATAACAAAATTCAAATTAAGAATTTGGTTGAAAACTAATAGCGTGAACAATTATACAGCTAATATAAAAGAGTGAAACATGGTGATTAGTGAATGAATACCAGTTGCAAATCAAATTGTCCAATAATTGGAACTGTGGTGGGAATTAAACACAGCACAATATGTGCAGAAGCGAATGAAGCCCAATGGAACCACACTCTTATTTTTATTATGGTTTTTTTTTTAATGATCACTGATCACTTTCTCCTTCATATCGAATGGTGAATTATGAGTTGGGAAACTTCGTGTTGCTCACAGTGAGCTAAGATCCCACATGTCCGACATACCACTTATGATTCCAAATTCTTGCCCTTCATGGTTAGGATTTCCCCACGGTTCATTCCTAGAGCTTGAAGGAGCGCCACTAACATTGAAGGTGGGGTTCCATCCATCTTCTGGCTTGATGATGCTTTCTGTACCAAGAGGCGAAAATTCTGGAAGTCCTGCCTCCTTGGTCAAATCCTCTGGGAAGGAAACAAATTCCTGTGCAAGAACATCTTTCTGATTTGAGTTCATGACATTTTTCCCTTTGAAAAGGGTATCTTCAAGTGCAAAGCTTGATGACTTTAACCCAATGGTGTCAGCAGTTGGCATAACCTCCGGATCTGATATCAGATGCTCAGCACCTTCAATCAATTCATTTGCCAAACCCCGTGAAAGGTAATCGGAACCCTCTTCAAGTGAAGCTGGACACATTTCTGGTATTTTGGCTGCGATGGTTACATCTCTCCAATCAGGTTGGTATCTTACAATGCGCCCTTCCTTCAAAAAATCTGATATTCCTGTTTGGCCTTGGTGCTGCTTGACAAACCTCCTTCTCACTTTAGGAGATTCTATATCTCTTTGTTCCTTCTCATGCTGAAGGCATGTTAAAAACGCTGGGCTTTCAAGTAACCTTGCCAAGAAAGAAAGCATTTGTCTGTGTATCACCTCTGCAGATTGGAGCCTCTGATTTATTTGTCTAGCGCGGCGAAGTGTTGTCCGTTGCTGTTGCTGCAACTCAACCACCTCTTGCATTAACACACTCCTTTCCTTCCTTAGTCTTTCTATCTCAAATTCAAGTCCAGCCTTACCTGCATCAGAATAATAAGGCACAATATAGCTACCAAACTGATGGGGCTGAGGAGGTCTGCGCCTTTGGATGTTCTTCAAAAGATGTCTCTTTCCTCTCTGAAAAGCTTCATTAAAAAACTCCCACTTGTCAGAGTCAATCTTGCGGAATCCCTGGATGTAAATGCCAAGTGACTTGAGAATGAGTGCAGCAGACCAAGGAAAATAAATTTTGGTTTAGGCACACCGGAGTTTAAGACATTAGGAGCAAATGAAGCTGTGTTGGAATTTGCAATCCGTGAATTCAGAACAAGCTTTACACAAACACAAGGTAACGATCAAGATGATAACATAAGCTGTGGCTGGCAGCATACAAAGTAAAACATGGAACACTACCTGCTGAGGATGAAATCCATACTATAGCAACATTCCTTCTGCTGCAAGTTCTAGTTCTAATATCTGAACCATATTATTATCACACACCTCCATCAGTAGTAATAGGCACTAAAAATAGAAAAGTCCATAACATGGAAGTTCACTTCAATTAAGAGGCAAATATGAAACAGCAAAGCAATCATGAATAACAAATTACCCACTCTACCTGCAGAAACAAATCCAATCATTCCAAAGTTCGATACATAATACATTATATAAAACATCTAGAGAAACTAAGGATACAGAACTTCCCAAAAATTCAACTCCCAGTTGACAAAATAATGTCTCAAAATCAAATACACATCCACGTGGTTGATCTTCATCAAACCAATTACAAAACAGACATTAAAATACATAGAGTACCCACATAGGTATTTAACTGGCGAACAAAACTGGAGAAATTGTTATGCTTGAATTTCCTGGGCAAGACGTGTATTGCTAACAGGGTAGGATCCCACACCACGAAACTAACACCGGAGGAGGCCCAGGATATGATCGGATCCAACGATGGATCTTCAACGAGGTCGAAAGTCTTGGATAGGAATGCCGGAACCGGGTTCCCTTGCGAGCATTCAAGTGGCTGCTGCAAACTAATGACCTTCTCAAACTCAGCGCTTGAAGAAGGAAACTTGGAAGATGAAGAAACAGTGGAAGACGTTGGTTTCATGGTTGAGAATGGTTGAACGGAAGACGAAAGGAAATAGGCAGAAAGAGCAATGTCCCGTGTTGGAAGAGAAGGTGAAGTGTGACGTGGAAAAGAGCACGAGAGGAATGCTTCGTGAGTACGCAAGAGAGTGGTGGAGAAGCCAATTTGTCCCTCTGGAATCAGTTGAGGATCACTTTCTTGTTTTGGGTTCATATTTGTGGTGGGAAAATTGTTGAAGAGAAAATAGAAAGAGTGGTTTATAAAGGGTGGGAAGGCGGTGGGAGCAGTGAGAGTAAGGGGCCATTGAGATGGACAGAGAAGCACCGACCAGTACGAGATTGTTTCCTGGCAATTACGTCTGGGAATAGTGAGAGAGAAGGGAAGAAGGCAACTCCAAGCTGTTGTGATTGGAGACGAGGCCAGATATTTATTGGCTGAGAAGAGACAGAAAGAGATTATGATGACTCAGAAACAGTGCATGTTCCACTTTCAGTTTGCCAATCACGTAACAGTACTAAACTTCATTTTCAGTTTGAGCGACTACGTCTCTTCGGGCTAATTCACTTATTCCTACTCCTCAATAATGTTTGTTTTTTTTTTGGTTAAAATCTTTTAATGTATTTGTTTATTGAGGAATGGTGGAATTTCGATCGATTCCGATTTGTAAGAGATTTTGTTCTAACCAAAACTCAACCACGTAAGTTCTTTTTACTTAAGCTAGCAAATGTTTTTCAATCGAAATGTATATGAGAATCGAAATATCGAGAAAATCCCACTAACGTGTCATGACTTATCGAAAACACTATTTTTGGTATTTTGTATTTATAGTACTCGAAGAGAAAAAGGCAGTAAAATATCAAATCAAAAAAGCAGTACCGAATGTTAAATTGTGAAGAAATGTAAAGTATGGAAACCTTAAACTTGCATTAAGTGTAAACGACAAGGAATCGAAATTGCGGAACAAACGGGAAATCGAGATTGCAGAAATGTAAATAGCAAGAAATCGAAATACGCAGAAACAGTAAATAATTGGAAACCGAATTTGCATCGAAGTTGAAGGACAAGAAATTTAAATGCAGAAAACTTAACTTCCATTAAACTGAAATTGACCAGGAATCGAAAACACAGAAACTTAAAGTTGTTAAACATAAAATGCATCAAAGTAAATTACCAAGGAAAATAAAGAAAGCGGTAAAGGTACTCAATGAGCGTGGAAATTCAGATCGCCAGAAACTCCATGATGTTCGTCGTTCTCTGGTAGACTTCTCACTAGTATTTCTATTCTCTGTCAATTTTCCACTCCCTCCCCTCTCATCTTTTGCTCTATTTATAGAGTGTCTTTTCAAGTAGTTTCTTAAGAGCAGTTAATGAAAACTGCTACCACGTTCTCTGTGCACGCCTTTTTGCAGTTTTGCTCCTAGCTCTATGGTTTAGAAACTGCATCCACGTTCCCATGCATGAGGTAACTGTTCCCTTGACCTTCGGCCTTTGTCACCGCTTACTATGTTCGATGTATACGTCGACTGTTCTTTTTAGCCAAAATTTTGATATTCGCGTATGTTAGCCTTCCATTCGATTTAGACTTCGAGACTTCGAGAGTTTTGGATTGCTTTTGATTCTCGGTATCCTTAACGTTACATGATTTTGATTTCTTGATTTTCTTCACCAACGGACGTTAAGCGTTATTCCCTCGATTCTCGATTTCAATACTCGATATGTTTTTATCTTTGTGGTCACCAGGTGTCTTGTCAATTTTATCGATTTTTCAATCAATTGTATAGTTCTCGATTTTTGCTTCCCTTCACTTTTTCTATCTTTTTATTGATCTCTTACTAACAGTATTATTAATATATTTTACCTTTTTAAACATCTCTCTTTTAATTTACTTTCTTTTGCCTCTATCTCAACTAAATTTCAATAATTTTTTTTAAAAGGTTATCAACAACTGAAAAAAGAACATAACAATTTAAATCATTCATTAGAAATGTAAATTATAATTTATACTTCAAACATTTATTATGAATCCTCATTATAAAAAAATGAATATTTATTTGAGAAAAACCAAACCAAACTAAAATAAACAATAAAAAATAATATATAACAAAAATAGATGAAAACAAAATATGAAGTGGGAGTGATAAGACTCTTGCTCTCCAGTGGTGCTACTTATCCATCTCCGTGTAGACCTTTTGATACGCCCTACGGTACATGTTAGACCCATATTTTTCTTTAGATAAAATACTCTTTTGCTGTTTTAAATTAATTCTATCCCTTAAGTTTTTAATATTAATTTTATCTCTTAATTTTCAAAATAGAATTGATGTTACTCTTTCTGTCCAATTAGCAGTCATATTAGTTTAGTTAGCCAGATGTCTATTTCACAAATTCCAACAATTATCGAATTGTTTATCAATTCGATGGAAAGGACGACATTTATTAAATTTTGAAAATTAAGAGAGATGAAATTGAACTTTTTAATAAATACAACACACATCAAATTCAACAAATTAAACTAATAAATGATTACATGATTAATTCAGTCCTTATTTTTCTGTGCTTCATTGTTGTCTGTATTCGAAATATTCACGAGTTATAAGTTATAGGACATAGGCTGTCTAATGAACTTTTGCTCGGGACAAAGCAACTTCAGTAGCGTTGACATTTTTATTTAAGAATATGTTGGGATAAATATTTTCAAAAAAAAAACATAAGAACAAAAAATGAAATAATTTTTTTCATAAATGTAAATAAAAAAACTTATACACAAATTAAAAAATAAAGATACATAAAATTTATTAAAAAATTAATTATGAACGAATTTTAATTTATAGATAAATTTTATTTTATTTCTTATTTATTCTTTTGAATAAATCCTTAAAAGGAATAAAAAATTATCCACAAATACCCTAAATCAATTGCGAGCTAGTAGGAAGCCTAATTTTTTATATGGTTGATTTAATCTCCAAAGTCAAGGAAACTATGTGAGTTGGGAACTAAAAAAGCTCTCAACAAAAATTCAAGTTTCCACGGCCGTTGAAGCTGCTTATCATTAACTGATTATAATTACGATGGGAAAACATTTTTCAATACAAACTATGGATGAAAAAATTATACATTTTCTTCATAAAATTACAGGATTACCTAACCCGACTATATTTGCTGGAATCTAGATGGAGCATGCCTTTGGGTCGAAAATAGGTATTCTCAATCCGAACTAGAACAGAAATGTATATCTTTGCTTCTGCAACATAAAAACGGACGAGTATTAATTCGATCATAGTGATACAGCATGCGCTAACTTATACAAGCAACAACCATGAAGGCAAAAGAAGGTTTAATAACACCAACCCCTTAACCACACCCTTTCAAGAACACCCAGAAATAAAGTAATTTACATAAGCCTCCCAAGTCCCAATTAAGTTAAAATGTATTAGACCTACACGTCATCAACACATGACTAAACAAACAATGTAAATTACTCTCCCTCCAGTCATGGAAGTTGTTTAAATACAATTGGGGTTGTGCAAATATAAATAAAGAGAAGAAAAGAAAATCATGTGCTTTTAAATTCATTGAAATCCTCGGAATCAACCGGCATGTGCTCTATCCACCTTACTAAACCATAGCACTAGTTCGAATGTAATGATGGTATTATGATTGACTCCTCTTAGAACATGAATTTAAGTCTAAACCGCTTCAAAAGTGAGATTTTTATTCATATATATTTAACTATATGAGCCATTTATGTATTTTTAATTGTATCTTTAAAGTGAAACCTCTGACAACTTCATAAATTAGTTAAACTATGAATCCTAGTAAATTCTTACAAATCTTTCTTGAATTTGACGAAAGCAAGATAGCTCAAAAACGTGTAACTAACTCTTCGAAGAAAGAAGTGCCAGGTTTGGTTTTGGGTCAAATTGTTGGAAGATGCATTGCAGTCATACTTTCCTGTAACTACACTATATGAGCCTATCACTTCGGCAGCGTTTGTCCTTCATTACAAACCCTCTTGAGGAGCAACTTTTCTGGATCTGGCAGATGAACTGGGTCCACAGGGTCTAATCCTTTAGGGTTCTTGGCTTTGTTTTACCTAGACAATATTTATTCTTCCCTTCCTCATGTTTCAGCAACCCAAACAAGTGACGGGCCTCAAATTCCAGAAGTATGCGCCATGCTGCCCACATTTGACAGGGAACATATTTGGACAATTTAGAAAAGGAACGGGCATGTAAGGTAATATGTTTTCCATTGGTGAGGTAGAAGAAGCACTAATGGAATGCTAGACTTGCACGATTGGGTGACCACACAGAATCATTCTAGTGAATTTTATAAGTAAAAATAGGGTCATGATAAGGTATTAAACTTCTATGGTTATGTTGTATAAAGTTAAATCCTTCTCACCTATATTCTTCTAACAAAAAAGGTCAAATTCAAACACAAGGTGAAAATGGGTATTAGAATTCAAGTTAGAGTCTTACAGTTGTATAGAAATGAGTAAATTGAACAATAAATAAGTAAGAAAAACCCATGTATTTATTGTCTTAAAATTTTAGATTGGAGGTAAGGTCAATTAATCTTGTGTTATTAGCTCTTCGTATTTAGAGTTGTTCTTGAACATCTCAAGTCTAAGCATACAAAGAGTATCTCAGTATTTAGAGTTGTTCTTGAACTTAGTCATACAACTCTAGAAGACCTGCACCAAAGAATGTTCGACCGGTGTCAATGCTAGGTCTCTTTTTGGTCAAGGTCAGTACCCACCAGGTCCTAGCGTTGGACTTGGCCAACTGTTGCCGTCAAGAGAAGTCCACAACTACATGCGAACCATATACAAGCTACTTTATGATTGGGCAGAAAAGGACATGGCTACTTTATGAATGGGCAGAAAAGGACATGATGTCAAAACCCTGGGGAAAGATAATGGATTACACAAGGGAACTTACAATGTGGAAGAAACTCATACTTGAGTAAAAGATTATTAGCATTTAAATATGAGTAGGAGTCTCACAATATATAGAAATGGAAAAATTAAGCATAAGAAAAACCCACAAGCCTATTGTTTTAAGGTGTAGGATTGACTGTGATGTCATGTTATCATATGTAATTGGGTTGAAACTCATTGATCAATAACTCTCAAGTGTTTCTCCCCTTCAAATCCCTAACAAGTGGTATCAAAGTCAAGTGGATCATCTTTATTGAAAATTTTCTTGACAAGGATTCAAATAGCATATCTATCAAGGTAAATGACGGTGCAAATAAGGTCACTATAAGTAAGACTTTTGCTCAATAAATTATATAAATCTCAATAGCACTTAGGATTTTTAAGGTTAGAATCTTGTAGGAAATTTAGGAATTTAGGGATAAGGTGGAAGGAAAGAATCACTCTTCCCAAGGGAGGCAACTCACAAAGGATGTGAAAATCCTTTAATACAGTTAAGGGTTCTTGAATCACTCAAGAATTTAGGAGAATCACTCTCACTAAGATAAAAGAGATAAACTCTAATATTTCTGAATAAAATTCTACTTGTTATTTATGATAAAAATGGTTCAGCTTATAAAGAAGTTTTGCCATCAAAGTTACAAAGATAAATGTTAATAATGATTTATTAACCTAGGAATTGAAAACTACTTAATGGTTGATTGTAACTGAAATTGTGACAACCAAAAGTAAATTATCTATGCATCCTCTTGGTCTCCCAAAAGTTGATACCTAAGTTTCCAATTGGACCCTTATTACAACTTCGAAACAAAATCAAACTAAAGTTCATTAATTGATTAATCCAAAACATAATTTGGTCAACCAATTTCATAAAGGATTGGGTCATTATTTAAATAAACTTAAATACTAAAACAAAGTGACGCATTAGTCCTTCTCCATTTGAGTTATGATATAATTCACAACTTTGGTCTTTTCTCCTTGAAATGTGGGTTGGGCTTGTATTCAAATAATATGGACAATACTTGTTGAATAACTTCCTTTACTTCCCTTACTCTAACCCTTGTCATAGGTCATGTCCTTATCATTCTCTTCCTCTTGAAAAGGATTTGTCATCAAATCGGATTCGTCATCTACATAAAAAAGAGATAAATCTGACAAATTGAACGTAAAACTAACATTATACTCACTTTTTGTGGCTAAATAACTCTCTCATTTTAAGTGTTTCACTAACGCTTTCTTTTTCTCTCTTCTCTTGAAGAAGTTTTTCTCTCATTTTCTTTTTATCCTCCTCTGCCATCACAATTTGACGTTCAAACCCTTAAACTGGAGCTCTGAATACCAAATGATATGAATCTCAATTGCACAAAGAGTGATTTAGAATCTTTAGGGTTAGAATCTTGTAGGAAATTTAGGAATTTAGTGATAAGGTGGAAGAAAAGAATCACTCTTCCCAAGGGAGATAACTCACAAAGGATGTGAAAGTCCTTTGATACAACTAAGGGTTCTTGAATCACTCTCACTAAGATAAAAAATATAAACTCTAATGTTTCTGAATAAAATATCACTTGTTATTTCTAATAAAATTGGTTCAGCTTATAAAAAAGTTTTGTTATCAGAGTTACAAAGATTCGCTAAAAAAAATGTTAATAATGATTCATTAACCTAGGAATTGAAAACTACTTAATGGTTAATTGCAACTGAAATTGTGGCAACCAAAAGTCAATCAGCTATGCACCCTCTTGGTCTCCCAAAAGCTGATACTAAGTTTCCAATTGGGCCCTTATTACAACTTTGAAACAAAATCAAACTAAAGCACATTAATTGATTAATCCAAAACATAATTTGGTCAACTAATTTCACAAAGGATTGGACCATTATTTAAATAAACTTAAAGACTGAAAAAAAATGACGCATTAGTCTTTCTCCATTTGGGTTATGATGTAATTCACAACTTTAGTCTTTTCTCCTTGAAATGTGGGTTGGGCTTGTATTCAAATAATATGGACAATACTTGTTTAATAACTTCCTTTGTTTCCCTTACTCTAGCCCTTGTCATAGGTTATGTCCTCATCAATAAAGAAGCATATAATATGGAAGAAACTTATACTTGAAGATATTGTTGGTTTTCAATTGTGAATTAGAGTCACAAGTTGTATAGAAATGGAAAAGTATAATAATATATAAGTAAAACTTATTGTTTTTACGAGTTAAATACTTTAATTTTGGTAATAAAAAATCTATGCTTGTAGTCTCTTGAAGCTTCATAACAACATTTATTCCTTTTGATTGAGAGTGCAGAATTAGAGTTTAATAGTTTCATATTTAGAATTTTATATTGTCATTTGATTGTAAATTATTCATCTTATAGTCAATATTAAATACATTAACGTTCATACCAACAACAATCAATCAATAAAATGGTTTGGAGCATTAATAGATTCAATTTTTTAACAAAATATTGAGTTTGATTCTTTTTTTTAGATATGATTGAGAAAGACCTGCAAACTATTGCTTTATAGTGTGTTTGAAAGAACAAAATTTAGAGGATAATTCATATTTTTAGAAAAATTGAAATGTTTTATGACAAAATATATTGTTTGGGATGGAACTATTAAAAGAAATTGATATTACGAAATTAATGAGAAATTTGGTAACTATACTCCCCAAATAAAGTATTTTTTTTACCCCCAACGATCAAAATTATTTTGTTGCCAACATTCCATGAGTCAGTTTTTTTGGCTAACATGGCTATTTTTTGGTCGATATCACCCACCCAAGGCTTTTATATTGATGACAATGCGACTATTTTTCAATCGATGTAAGTTAGGGTTATTTCGGTTATTTGTTGGTTCACATTGTTAATATTATATTTTCGCCTATATAAGCTAAGATTATTTCTCCATCTATGTTAGACTTTTTTTGGCCAAGGTTGGTAGGATTTTTTCGATGGATGTCAATTAGATTCTTTTTGTTCACGTCTTTCATATATATTTTTTTAACCAAAGTGTTTATTTTTTCTAAATTAATGGGGAAACTTTCAGTCAACCTTGACTATAACAGTTTTGACCATAAGTCAGTGAGGGGACTTTTTCGTCTACATCAAATGAAAAGTAAACCTACAAAACCCTAACCAACAACTTTTAAGAAAATAAGCTTGATAGATGTCAACCAAAATCATCGTGGCTGACATCAATTGAAAATAACCTCAACTGATGTTTAGACTTTGACCAAATATGCTTATCATCGTCGACTAAATTATTAAATATTTTTTAATATAAAATAATTTTTTGTATTTAGTATTATTTGAAATAATTTAAAAAAAAAATTCAAATTCAATACATTTGAATTCCCTATAAATGGTGAAATTTCTATGAATGATTAAGGTTTTTGGTTGAACATGATATGAAACTCTCTTATGTATTAGTGGGTGACCCATTGGTAAATATCTCCAAGATATTTTCTCCCCTCGAATTTCTATCAATGAGTCAATGCATTGTTCACACTTCAAGTCTAACTAGCTCGTGCTATAGATGTAACAGAAATAGCAAATAATTCATGTATTGCAACCTAACAATTTTGGCGATTAATATAGTTGATTCATTACAAATATATCCGGAAGATAATGTCCCCACTCCCCACTTGAAAATTGATAATATTCCCTTCACTGCAAAACACAAAAAATACTACGTCCAAGCAAAACCTTATGCCATGTAAAGTCATTAAGGAATTTGGTACGCACCTGGGACTATTGAAACAGTGTATTCCTGTTAGACATCAAAACTAACAAAAACCCTGTAGTATGTGCATGAATAGCAGGTTTGAGCAATACTTTCAAATGAGTAACGACATGTTTGGACGACCAGGTTGAGGTATAGGGGGTTTGAGCAATACTTTCAAAGAATCCATAATACTTGAAAAAGAAGGGCGTTTCCAGGGCTCACTGCAGTAAAACAAGGATATCAATAAAATTCAAGCAGCCAGCATACTCTAATGAAAGATGTATCAGCACTCACTTAGCCCAACAAGCTTCAATAATTGACGCTAATTGAGGATTTAGATCTCGAGGTATTTCAAGTCTTTTTCCCTTAAAGCCAACAGCTGCCACAACCTACAAAACATTACAAATTTGTGAAGACTAACAGAAGGCCCTGCATCAAACACATTACTAAAAGCCTCAGTCCAAAAGTAAGAAAAATGAAAGAAATATTGATGCAAATTTCAGTTACAGGATAATTATATGTTGATAAAAAGCCACCATGAAACAGAATAACTCTATAAACCACACTTAGGCACTCCATTGATACTCCCCCAATACATCTTATGATTGACCTGTGTGCTACATGCTTGAACCAATATACATTTTTGTCAATCATTTTCAGATTTATATTACCAATAGCATTCTATTCTTTGATGTTACTCACTTGAATTCATCAGATCTTAAAGACTCTTTTATAAAAATCAAAGCAATATAATCATAATAGAAAATCTATGCATAAGCACACTGAAATATATCAGTTACTCGACAAACCTGTGGTGGATTCAAATTACTCCAAGGCTGTTGCAATGTTGCAAGCTCCCACAAGATGACACCAAAGCTGTAAACATCTGATTTCTCATTGGATGGCTCATCGCGAAGAACTTCTGGAGCCATCCACTCAGGCTAATAGAGAAAAGGGTGTTCGACTTAAATGTGCAATAACAAAAATGATCTCTAAAAAATATGATACAAATGTTTTAAAAGTAAACTTACAGTCCCAGCAGCTGACTTGGATGAGAGAAATGTGTTTGCCTTTAGTCGGGAAAGTCCAAAATCACTAACCTAAAGGGAAGATACAAGAAAAAAAGGATCTGTGAAAAGTCAACTTACTCCAATAATGCCCAAGCAAATAGACCAACAAAATTCACCCTCCCAGAAAATAAATTTTGCTCAGCACTAGACATATAGTTTATGCATTAAATTGATTTTTGTCAATATGTGAAGTATGAATGAACTGAAGCCCAGCTAATAATTCAAAACTTCTATCGACCATGTGTAGACCAAGTTTTGCTGAAATATTTCTTTCACCAGTTCACTAAAAATTCAAAAGAGATGGTCGCTTAACAATGTCAATCAGAATGGACTATATTAGTGCTTTAATGCTAGCATGCACAAACATGAATTGATGTTTGGTGATTCAATATAATCTTCTGATTGTGTAAGGAAATTTGTGAATGCCAGAGAAGTGCAACCATACTACGAAAGGTGACTAATGGATTAAATGAAACTCTCTACATTTTTTCAGACAATAAAATTTCATTCTTGCCTTCACTGTATATTTCTTGTCAACCAGAAGGTTTGGAGATTTCAGATCTCTATGAACAATGGGAGGATTACGTTTGTGAAGATAATTCATCCCCTTAGCCTGCACATGGAAAGACAAATACTTAACCAATGGAAACTAGGTTACATATTAGTTCAAAAAACAATAATGCTAATTATCTGAAAGTTTACCACATCATAAGCCATGCTAATCCTACGTCGCTCATCCAAGATTTCTGTGGCGCCAGGTTTATGTAACAGCCTATACAAGCTACCCCTGCACTTAGTTCAATAAAATCTTTCAGGCCTCAAGTGTAAGATATGTTATAAACTATGAAAAGAGATCCCTTTTATAAGAGGGAAGGGTAAAGGAACAGGTAGATGAGATATTGCAAAACCTTGACAAGTATTCTGTGACAATTGATAAATTAGGAGGCTTAGTGACTGCACCCATAAGTAAAACAATGTTTGGATGCCGTAAGCCTTTCATTATTGCAACCTAGCAAAAAAGGGGTGAAAATATAGCTCAAATCAGTAGCAAGCATACAATTAGTGTTTCAGCCAAAACAATATAACAACTTCTGGGCCTACCTCCCTCAAAAATTCCTTGAAGCGTTCACCTGCAAAGTCTTGTTCCATTAGAATTTTCACAGCAACCTCCTGCAATGCTTAACATTTTAACAAATGAAAATGACACAATCTAAAAGAACATGTGCAACAAAAAAGTAGAGAGATGGAAAGGGAGTATTATACAAAATTAAGTATTAAGCTATACTTTGGATTCAATTTTGAAGAAAGCAATACACACACTTGTATACACCTCCCAAATTAAAAATAAAACGCATTCTAAATCATAAAACTAATAAAGTGGAATTTTTATTTTTTTTTAAATGACAAAATTGTAAAAGTACAAAGACAGAAGACTTCCAGTTGAAAGCAGAAAAGAGCATTCATAATATATACCACCTTTGGACACTAATGCTTCATCTATTTACTGAAAATGAAATAGTATATAAATGAAACCTTCATTGATGATAAGTTGATTGCACCTATAAATAAAAAAATATTTGAATGCTGCAAGCATTTCACCATAGCAACCTAGAGAAAAGGGGAAAATACAACTCAGTAGAAAACATTCATTCTTTTGGACAACGAATTTTTTTAAAATAAGCCTGTGCACAGTGGTTTTTGCTGTGCAGCTCAATTTCAAAATCTCTGTAAACATATTTGGTTGTAGATGAAACAACATTAGCAAATGGGAGGCCAATCAGCAACAAAGTACAAAAAAACAACATGTAGATTGAGTTCAGCTGATCAAGCACAGCAACCTTTGAACAATGAGATGACTTATTTAAGAGTACAAGTATAGCTTATAACAAGATAATATGCATTCATTAGATCCAACAAGAAGAAAGCATGATATTTTCAAAAACTGCACTAAATGATTCTATCATACCTTCATCTGCAAATAATCTATAAGCAATGAATGCTTTTGAAACAAAATTTCACAGATACAAATGACCGAGATGCTGAAAAAACAACTGATATTGACAATCCATGAAAAAAACAGCAATCACAAGTTAATCTACAGCACCAACGAAAGAAAAAAAGAGGGGCTTACGGAGCCATTCCACTCAGCTTGATGTACAGTTCCAAAAGAACCTGAAAATATAAAATATAACAGACCAAATTTAATTAGTGACTATATGATACTGATTGCGTATCATGCCACAGGAAGCATTTAATGCTAGTAATTCATTAAATACTGTATACATAACACAGGCTCATATATTATTAGTTAACTTCAGAGCATTTTGTAGGATCACTGGAATTTTTGTGATGTGATATTTTTGCTAGTCTATGGTGTATTTGATTGGGGAAAATAGAGCTCAAGGAGAAGATATCTTTTACAAGGGGAAAATACTGCCTCAATAAACAGCAAGACATACTGGACAAATATGTAGAAAATGCAAATAAGAGATAACAAACAGAGCTGATACAGAGACCCAGCCTATGCCACCAATCACTCCGTCAATTCTGTTATATTCTTCACTACTATCCCCCCCCTGCAATGGGTTTGGATCATCTCATGTATGTGAGGAGAATTCATGGAGACGGATTTAATTTCTGTGACTTGATAGTGCCTATCCAATTTCCAAATCCCCTTAAATGATTGAAGGGCAGCTGACCTGAAGGAAAGAGATTAGGCCATCAAAAAAATTGCAGTAAGCTCAAATTTTCACAGTTTTGATTGTTGCTAGAGGAAGAAGCAGGCCCAAAGAGCTCTCCAGTAAATGCAACAAAAGGGGGCAGGAAAGAAGTGAAGGTTCTGTTAGAGAAAGACTCGAGAAGGTTCATCTATTGATTATAACCCATTAATTATATTTTCCTTTTTCTGTCATTCTCTCTCAAACAGGACCATATCCAATCTATGAACAAGAGAGGATCCAAAATCCTTGTTTCTCTTCAATACCTTTTTTTTCATGTGTACATTTTATTACACTGTCACACCAATGTTTCCTCCATACCGCATAGCAGCATTCCTTTTCTCGTGAACAAGTATAGTTTTTTTCAAGGATGTTAATTAGGTTCGGTAATCTGATGACCCAATCCAACCCAATGCAATCCAAAAACATTGAGTTGGATTTCATTCGTGATTGAATCAAACTCAACTCAATCTAATTTGACCCATTGGGTGACAAATTTTGTATGTTGAACTTGATATCCAACCTAACCAAAATTATAAAATAATATTAATCATAGTAATATAATCATTATTTAATTTATTTAGTTATTTTATTAATTAAATATGTATTTCTAATTACATAATATAGTCTATTTAAAAAAATATATATATTCTAAAAATCTAACAAAAAATGTTCAAACAAAGAAAATGCAAAATCCCAGCCCAACCAAACTCAATTTTTTATTTGGTTAGGTGATGAGTTTCGCCGAATCCAACTCAACCCATCCTGTGTACCTCCTATAGTTTTCCTTGGTCAACACCTCATAGTCCATTTTCCTTTTTGTTCTCTTATACACATGTTAGAGGTCCATTATTATCCTCCTACAATTATGTGATAGGATAGTTGAAATGACTTCTTGGGTTCTCTGACCCATTACCTTTCTTACAGAACCTCCCTCAGATAAGAAGAGGGATTGAAGTGTCCGAGCCTTCTTTTAATATATGCTCTCCTGATCAGAGAGGGATTGAAGAGTTTTATTGCATTGTTAAGCGCATATTCTGTTTTTTCTTTTCTATTTTCATTGACACTACCACTACCTTACATTACTTTTTTTTTACCTTGACTATCTCCCTCAATTTTTCTCTTCTAAACACCAACCCCATCCCACTGAATCAACAAAAAGCAAGATTTTAAATAATATGCAAATTATAGAAGAGCATACATACCTGATCCAATTCTCCCTTTTAAAACAAGATCAGTCCATGGTATGTCCAGATCCTCCATATCTAGGGAAAACTCTCTAGATGGTTTGCTAGACATAAGCAATCTGGTCCGTGTATCTCTATGACCAGGACTATTATGCTTTAAAGGCAATGAATCCTTACTTGTCAATGTTGGTTCGACATCATTCTGTGGAGGGTTACCTGATTTAAATGTTTTGGAGCCTCGATCATGTGCACTTGGATGATTAGTTTGTTGTTCTGAAGGAACACGAGAATTTTTGTTGTTATCATTTGGAGTTGACCCAGGGCTCCTGTCCCTGTACTGCCTTTCATACTGTTCTGGAAAAGAGAATCCAAAATCTTCATCAATAATAGGTATTGTATTAAAAAATAAAATTAAAAAAAAAATACAGATATCCTATACTTGCATCCCGTTCTTTACTTAGGCAACCAAATGCTTGGAATTTCTCTAATTGAAAAGAAGAGGAATTTGTCCAATAATTACAGTCAACAAATACAAAAAAACAAAAGTAAGGATAGGTGTTATCACTTGGTAAAGAAAATAACTGACATAAACAGCAAGGTATACAATTTGGTTGAAATAAGAAAACTGTAACATGACACTGAATCAGGAAGTTAGACAAATTGATTATAGAGAGTTAGCATAGATAATCCATTCACTAAAATACAAATATATAAAAGAACAAGGACGAGTTTATCATTGTTGAGAATCAGAATATTATATTTTGTTTATTATTACAGTCAAGTAAACTTTATTTTCGAGCAAACAAAATATCTTCTGTACATGCATAATAAATGTAACGAGGCTATACGTTGTGTATTCAGACACAGTATTCAGACCATGTCTTTGTGTTCTCTATTTTAAACATGATTTCAAAAAGCCTAACAAGGAAACATTATGAGAACAGTACCTCCCCTGTAGACCCACTATTCCCAGAGAAATATTTTTGGTGAACCATGTATATCTTTGGTTCATCTCTCTGATCTTCAACCTTCTTCTGACCTTTCTTCCTTTTTCTAATGACTTTTTTATCCACAAACGTCATGATTGCTCCAACAACCTTTTCAGTAAAAAAATATTCCATATTTCTCAAGTTTCTGGTACCACTTTAGACCCCACAAAGAACACACAAGAATTGTACTTTCTCAAATTTCCCTCTCTACACTAAGAAGTAGGATAAATCAAACTATCTCACTTATCACCATATAAATTTTTGGTACATAATATCGAGATCATCTCACCATTTTCGCCACTGTCATGCTAAATGGAGAAGATTGATGCTAAATTGTGCAGTTTCATTAAGTCAACCCTTCACCGGAAGGTTAAACCAAATTTCTGCCTTCATATCACTTGTAAATCGGTTTAGACTAAAGCACTTCCCCTTCATACTGATGACAGTAAGAGGTTCTATGGGGTTTGTGATGACCAGATGAATCTTTTTGCACTTCATCATTTTAATGTCCTATCCTATGTCTTTTGGCCGAATTCATGTTGTCCTACATGATTATAGTGAACTCTTATGGGATTCAGTCCTACGTACGGAACTGATTTGCCTATTACACAGAAAAAGCATTTGATCCACTTGTAACTCATCTCCCCACTATATTAACCTTGTAAATTTTCTCCTTAAAATTATAATTATCATTCTTCTTTATATTCTATTTCTAATCCTATAGAATTATTTCCCCTAGAATGGAGGAAAACAATGATTGAAAAGATGTGTGCATTCTAGAGTAATGTATTTAGCCTAGGATTTGGTCCCCCATCCTCTTGGTAAATCTTTTATTGGTTATTAATGGCTTTACCCCCATTCTAGAGTAATTCAAGGCTCATTTGGTGCAAAAAGTTTACACCCAAATGTATGGACAAGATTACATTAATAGTCTCTTTGGTAGTCAAGATTACTTTTTTCCGACTACTACTTTCCATACACTGTCCATTCTTCTAACCTAATATTCATGGAACAAGCCAGTCTGGTCAAAAAATTGCAAACAGGATTAGTCCCTAACCTAATGGAACAGGGAAAACTCAATGTAGGACCAAAAAAATAATATCACATTCTAATTTTAAAACACATATTCACTTCCCTTATGTTATTAATAGAGTAAAACTTATATTCCTTGTTTTATTTATATTTATGTTTGTATAACAATATATGTAAACATAATAATAAATTAGTAAATTTTATCATATATTTTATATCTATTAATTTATTTTTATATTAAAAAAATATTTTCTCAAAGATATATCTGTATATAATTTTGTAAAACAGTCTATAATTTAGTAGCAGTACAATTTTTATGATAATTTTTCCATATAAAAATTAAACCATTCAAATTTTTGCTAATTAAGAAATCTTTAATTTGCATATTAAAACTTTAATTTTAAAAATTTCTAAATTTTTATTTAATATGATGTTTTTCAATAAAATGAGGGAGATGAGTGTCACTTTATTAAAAATATAAAGGAGGTGAGTACAATTTATAAAAAAAATATATGGAAGGTGGACGTCTATTTTAAATTAGACATTTTATTAAAAAGATAAAAAAGGTGAATCTCTATTTTAAAACTAAAGGGGTGTGAGTATCATTAGCATAACCTCAGGAGAATTAAGTGTAATTTCCCCTAAATTTTAAAATAGTGCAATACAATACCCATTATGTAGACCAAGACTCATATAGCATAATACAAACTTAGATTTAGAGTATCATACATTGAATAGGAAACATGAATATTACCTGCAATACCACTATCAAAGATAAGCTCAGTGGACACACAATCCGAGAAATACTGTTTGGCCAGTGACCTGAAATCAATGGTTGGTCCAGCTGGTTTGAGTCTTGGAAAGCGCAAGGGTGAAGAAAATGAGATGGAGGATGGACCATTCAGCAAGGAATCAGGCTCACATAAGCAACCCGGCTTCCCAATTAGATCAACCATGTATTCCCTGTAGTTATATAGTTTAAAACAGAAGTTAGTTCCCAGAATGTTCCCTGAAAGGCTATGGCACATTGTAATTTTACACTTCATACTATGGTCTCACGGAACAGCCTCGGAAAACACCTATTTAAATTGCAGTTCTACTTGTTAACATAATAGCAGATGTGCTAAGCACCAAAACATATACCTGTCTAACCCAAATCGAACAAGACAAGATGAGGCATCTTCTCTTGAACAATATTTACAGCCCTTTGCAATTCGACATGGTAAATCAATAGTGTCAGCTAGCACCTGAAGATATATAATGTAAAAGGAATGTCAGTGCAAGAACAACTCAAAATACGTCACTTTTGCTAAACCATTGACACCCACACCCCCTTCACCAAGAAAAATGATACTACCATAATAATATAGTCAAAATACACAATTACAGCCTTGGCCATCACATAGAATTGGAGGTATTACTTTGAATAATACAGCACGATGCCTGCAAAGTCCAGTAGATAGACTGCCAATTGGAACAACAACAGATCCTAAGCGATCTCTTAGATCATTAATACAATCCCTCCATGTGGAAAAAAGATCGTCTTCCCATACAGAAGCTGAACCCCTTGTTACAACAATAAAACACAATTAGACTGGTGCAAGTTAAATAGTTCATAGCCAATAATGCCAAGGAGACTCACCCCATACATTTGTATACCAGCTTTGCAAGCTGGTCTACAACATCTGTTGTTGTTATGCAGCAACAAGAAATGTCATGTACCTTGTTTTGCAATTCTTTTAAGATAGGATCACCATGTCTATCCACTAAAACTACTTCAAGTAAAGAATCAGAAGAAGGGTCTATAGATTTTAGTGTCTCTATTGAAGGTATTCGGCCATTTTCCTGCAGATCAGTGCACACAGTCCATACATAGGGATCCATCCCATGAATTAGATAAAAGCCGTCAGGAATTTTGTCAAAGTATAATAGGCAGCCATTCACCTGGTGCACGTAATTAACAAAACATCATATCAATTGCATGCTTACCAATAAGTAACACAAATATATCAAGATGGAGCTACTTCTAGTTACCTCCCTGATTTTTTTGAAAAATTAAAGCAAAATAGTTAAAAAAATGGCAATAAGAACATAATAAAGAGAGGAGGGTTTTCCCATCTTAGTTTAAACTCACATGTCAACTTAACAACCATATTTTCACTTCTTCCCTCAAAAAGAATTATAATTATACCCTTCAACATAAATTCATCTAATAGGACACCACACATTCTATCACCCACAATAATGCCAAAATATTACACTATTTCATCATTTTTCCAAATCATTAAAATAGTACATTTTACAGTAAACGACCCACAATAGAGGCAAATCAGCTTCAAGATTTAACCATCTCCTTAAGACAAAAAATTTTGGTAAGTAGCAAAACTTAATAAGTATTAAGAACAGGCCAAACAAGCTTCAATAATCACAATTTAAGGACATAGTAAAAAGATAATATGCCCATTGGGCAGAACCACACAACATCAGTACAAATTTATGGTGAAATGCTTCCATTGAACAAGCTAGTTTTCTGTTGCCAATAGAAAAATCGGGAGTAGTTGGTAACAAAGACTATTATGTCACCCCAATAATACCAAAATATTATTACATATTTTCAAGATTTGCTAGAACTCTTAAAACAGTTAAAATTCAAATAAATGGGCGTTACAAAATTACAGAAAATGGGAAAACTTCTTTCTCTGATAAAAACTTCAAGAAGCACCAGAACTGACAATAATAACAGGTCAATCAGTACAAATTTCAAGAGGCAATTTTTCCACTGTCAGTGCCACAACAAATCACAGTAGTTTATAACTTTTTACAACAAGTGTTCCAAAATAAAAGCCCTGATATCCCTGTTTATCCTAGCAGATTTGCACATTGTAATTCATGAACCAACTCATCCCTTTGCAACTAATGAACACAGCTTAGGGTTTCTTACTTAAGCACTCCCCAATAGCATCCAGTCAAGTCAAATACCAAGAAACACTCGTTCATGAACTTAAAATTATACATACAAATTTCCGTTTAAAATAATCATAATCCTTCCAATACAATCTAGAAAATCCAGACAAACCCATAAAGACTCAATTGTACACATGCATAACATGATGTTAACCATAAAACGACTGCAGCTTTACTTGACAAGAATACATGTTTGGATAAATATCTCCATAAACACTTTTAAAAAATAAAAAAATGAGAAGACTAAACAAATCTAAGCTCCTCTCGTAAGCTAAATTCAATTTATTCACATAACTTTTATCCCACTTCTCCAAAAAATAGAACTGAGATGCAAAGTTTATTTTAATCTATGGAAGAATTCAAATTATTTTACATCCCTATCTTATACTAATAAAAATGTTTTTGGAGTAACGTAATTTGACTGGTAAATATTCTCAAGCTTCAGTCACGACTACCAGAAATCCAGAACCATGCTGTGACAACGTCCATTCACATGTCATTGTTGTTTTTCATTGGTTGCTCGATTTATTTAAATATACCTCATATAGAGGTTAATCTAAAAACTCTCATGCTCACAAATTTCCAAACCCCAGTAATCACCGGAACTTGGCAACCAATCACAAATGGAACAGCACAATTGCCATAACAAATAATCAACATACCCAAAACCTATGCGACACAATCTCGGGGGAACACGGTGACCTGGAAGACGAGTCATGGGGCACGGGATCCAAAAAATTGGGATCATCAGCACAAGTGGCCTCGGAAGAAAGCCGAAGAGCCAATGCCAGCTGTAACTGATAACTCTCCTCCGTCTGTTGCGCCCAGCTCTTACCGTAGGATCCGTCGCTCCTCCCCACCGCGTCTGAATACCTGCCTCTGACCTCGCCAAATTTGAATCCGTCGGGTTCATCGATGGCGACGTTGGACAAAGTGGGGGCGTAAAACTCACCAGAGAGCGAGCTCTCGCCGAAACTGCTCCCACTGGAGTGCCGCTGCATCCCGAAAGAGGAGTACAAATTCCCGATCCGGTTCCCCTGCCTGTGATCGGCGACGGAGTCCCAATCAGATACTCTCTCCAACTTGCTCCGGTTGTTTTGACCGTCGCCGGAGGAAGAGTTGAACAACGGAACCGTTAAGTTGTCTTCAGGCGTTTGGTTGAGGAGGAAGTAGTTGGTGGATCTTCTAGCGGGCATTTCCATGGAGGCTTTGTACGCGTTTCATAAAACCCTAAAACCCGCCATTGCGCTGCTGTTTCTCTCCTTTCGCCGGGTGGGAGTGAGTGGGTCTCTCCTTTTTCCTTTCTCTATAGAGTTTGGTGGAGGTCGTAACGATCTTTTGTTTTAATAGTTGTATATTTTAGCGGTTTGGTAACCTTTTTCGAAGTATGGCGCAATCGATTTTTGGTTCACACGTTGGATCAGAAGGTCCCGCGCCACTCACTCCACCGGTATTCTACCACTTTATTTTGATTCTCCTTTTACAAGTACAAGGTTTGACTTCAACCATTAACAGGTGGACATAGCTTCAGTGAATGTTCCAATCTTTCAAGAAGTAATGATGCATGAATTTTAATATAAACAAATCAATATGTACATTTTTTATTAAAGAAAATAAAGAATAGATAGTACATTGCAAAAATGGATGTACTGAACGCTCCATTAATACCTACGGTCAGTATCCGATTCTGGCTCATAAATAAATGATTTTTATTATTATTATTATTATTATAAAAAAAAGTTATGCATAAATATGCTGTTTTTTCCTTTAAATTTAGCTTTTCATAAATAGTTCTAATTTTATTAACTTTGTTTGAATTGAGGTGGAAATTCTAAGGAGTAAATTTTAGATTATTTGAGTAAATTTTATATTATTTGAGTAGGGTTGTTTACATTGAGAAAAAATAATATATTTGAAAAGATTTAAATAATGTAATAAAATATAAGATAATTGAATAAAAATATTTTTAATATAGTCACCAAATTATCAATATTGTGTGAAGTAGAATAAGATAAATAAACAAAGAAAGTTAATAAGGATAATTTAAATAGAATGAGATAAGTAAATAAGGAAAGTTAATAAAGATAATTCAAATATTTATTATCACAATTTCATAATAGATTTGTGAGATAGTGTCAGACGTAATCTATCATCTAAATCCGCTCAAATTAACATAAACAAATTATCATATATTTTATAAATTGATTTTTTTTAGTAATATGCTATTAAATTTATAATTTAAAAATATCATAATTCTATAAATATTTATCTGATTACTATGTTATTAAATTTATAATTTAAAAATAATATTATTATATTAATATTTATCTGATTAACACCATTTTCACATATAGTTGAAATTCAGTCAGGAGGTTGAATTCCAACCTTACTAATTAATATAATTTTTAAAATAAAATAATATTTATTAAATATAATAATTAAATATATATATATATATATATATACTATTAAAAAATTATTTATATAATTATATAATATAATTATAAATATTATGTTTTAAATAACATAAAATATATTTATATAATTATATTATTAATATATTTTTATACATATAATAAAAATATATTAAAATATAATAAAATATTTATATATTTCTATAAAAAATTATTATTTTTACTTATTAAAATTATTTTATATTAAAAATATATTTAAATAATATATATATATATATATATATATAAATTATTTATGTAAAAATGTTATATAGAAAAATATAAATATATATTTATTAAATATTATTATATTTATAAAAATATAAATAGATATTTAAATATTATATATATTAAATATATTTGTTTTTATTATATTTATAAAAATATATTAATAATATAATTATATAGATATATTTTGATGTTATTTAAAAAATTATATTTATATTTATTTCATATAATTATATAAATAAATAAAATTTAAAATATATATATATATATATAATATTTATATATTTATTTTATATAAAATATATATATTTATATTTAATTATTATATTTAATAAATATTATTTTATTTTAAAAATTATATTAATTAATGAGGTTGAAATTTGGCCTCTCACAATCAAATTCCAACTATGTAAGAAAATGGTGCTAGTCAGATAAATATTGATAAAATAATGTTATTTCTTAATTATAAATTTAATAAGATGCTAGTGAAGAAAAAAAATTCTTCCTAAATCTCTTCATTCAAATCCTCATTAATGAATATTGGCTTTTTAATCATAATTTGTTTTTATATTAATTATTCATGTTTTTGAAACAAAAGTTTCTATACTATTATCAGTGACAAATCTTAAACTATACTCCGAAAAATAATATATATATATATATTATGGAAAGTTTAATATTATTTAATAACATTATTTAATATTAATTATATTTATTATTTAGTGTAAAATTAAGTTTTGTGGTTATATTTGAGATAAAAGGATAATTGTTTAATGAGGAAAGTCGGAAAAATCATTAAAAACAATTAATGAAATTGTAATTAATATTTATTAAATAACATATTGAACAATTTGTTTAAAGAAAAAAATATAATCTATAAAACCACATCTAAATGTTGGAAGTATAAGAAATTTTGGGAGCATTACAAATATGTTAGCAACTCGTAATGTTAATTAGTCATAATTCATTAAATATATTATTTATATTAAAATATTTTCTCACACATAATAATTAAAATTTGAATTTAAATAAAAATAATTACATTTTTATATTTTATACTTATTATATTTATCTAAAATTAATACTATTGTGTATTAAAAAATATTATTATTTTTAAAATTTGATTATAATCATTATTACTCTTAATAAAAAAGTTAAAGCGTGTAATTGTTTTATAAAATATTTATAAATTAATAATTTTTATTTTAGAAAAATTTAAGACTTTCAAATATAATACTTGTCTTAAAAATGAAACTTGATAAAAGTGTTCAACTAATATTTATTGCAAAAATACTATTAATTTAAATAAATATTTTTAAATTATATATTATCTTAACATATATCTTTAAATCAGGAAGTATTTAATTAAATAATTTTCTATTTTTAAACTATCATAAATTTTCTTAATTTAATGTTTGAATTAAATATTTTTTAGTATTTATAAAACTTTTTATTTAAAATTATAAAGATAACTTGTATCCTAAATTTTATAATTAAAATATTACATATTAAATTAATTTAATATTTATATTTTTAGAAAGTATTATTACACAAAAAATTAATTTTAGTGATTATAGAATATTTGTTTATAGTTATTCATATTTAAATTTGGTAAATTATTTTTAGTGCATATCAACTATTTAAAATAACATTTCAACTTCCATCTTTAAAAATATTAAATTCATATGTTTTCAATTTTATGGAATATTTGCTTATAATTATTCATATTTAGATTTTGTAAAATATTTATAATGTAGATAAACTATTTAAAATAGCATTTCAACTTTCATCTTTGAAACTATTAAATTCATACCATTCCAATTTTATATGGATTTTTTTAATGGTTATATATAAAAGGGTATACCTTAATAATAAAATTAAACCATATTATTATTATTATTATTATTATTTACAACTAATATTAAATAAAATTAAAACGTCAAATTATCAGAAGTCCTTAAATTTATAGATTTAAAAAATGTTTAATATGATTAATCATTCATTATTTTTTATTGTTTAATATTTACAAGACGTTATCAAATCAAAATGAAAGAACATACAGTGCATTTTAACTAAACTTGTATTATATTTATTATTATTGTTATTTTATTTATATTTTTTATTTGTCAAGTAAGTTATTAATATATGACAAGATTGCCTATATAAGACATCTGACCCTACCTAAATTAATACAAACTAATAATGATAATATATTAACAATGATCAATTGATTCATCAGGCAAATTAGATTTACTTTCTAATTTCAATTAAAAAAATAAAAAAATATACAAGTTGAGCCCTAAAAAAATATATAATTAATAAAAAAATGTTTAAAAATTTTAAATAAAGTTCAATAATATTTGATAAATATAAAAACATTAGAAATCCAATCAAATTATAAATTTATCGCGTTGAGCACAAAAAAATTGTAACATTCACTGGATAAAGAATTCGATAATATTTTTTTTATTGTGTAGGCAACTTATAAAAAAATTGTGACAATTTTTTATATGTTCAGAATAGAGAATATAATCACCATTTAAAAATTATATTCATACATATAGAATTTATAATTACAATTTTTTTTTGAAAAAAAAATATTTTCCAAATTATAGATCTTAACATGATTTTTCATTTTTCCTTTGGTTGATTATGCAATTATTTTTTAAGATTTTTATTTTATTTTTCTTTTTTATTAATCATAATAATTATAGGTTTATTCAAACTTAATAACTTAGTTTTGACACTAAAATTGAATTAATTTAGTTGTGACACTTTTAATTAATATAAATAATACATTTTCAAAATTTAAATCGTTAATTTTAAGAAAAAAGAGTAATGTGTATAATAAATAGTAAATACAATAGTTTAATAAAAATACAAATTTATTTTATGATTTTAATTTAATAAAAGTTTTTTCTGTGTGATTTTTTTTACTATTTAATTATTTTATATCGGACTCAATCTCATTCAACCTTTGCAAAGTACACTTTTTTTTTTTTAACTCTTGTTTTAAAGTAAATAATTTACTTAAAAACAATCACCCCATGTGTTAATTGTGACGTTTTTTTTATTATTATTACTTGTATAAGAATTGGAGGTCAAAAAATATTACATATATATATAAAAGTAATTTACGTCACTATATAAAATATACAATAGAAGAAGGAATTTTATTTTGATTCCTTCTATTTTTTTCTACAATTTTACAAGTATCTACATTGCCGGTGGAAACAAACTGATTAAAGGGTTTTGGAAAAAGGTAGGAGGCATAAAAAAGGTAACCACTAACATAATGAGATTTCTCATATCGGATACAAATGTTATTATTGAAAATTTTGTCCCTCTAAAAGTAACCGAGTTGTCTATAGCATTTGTGTTCCAAGTAGTTCCTGGAAAGAAGGTAGTGATGCTTACAGAAAAGAGATTTGGAATATTTGGCACCTTCATCTACTTAAGTTGATGTTTAAATAAAATATGCACAAAAGATCACAATAGGGAGTGAAAACATTTATCAATTA